AACAATACTTTTACAACTATACTGATAATATATCTTTCTGCGAACTAAAATATAAATTTCGGTATTTGAATTGACGGGTACAAGAATTATCAAGAGAAGTAAGCTTGCTTTTTTTACTTTCTATCAGTTCAATCAAGTAATCAATTTTCTATTCCAGAGTTTTGTTTTTCCTATTGGACTGAGAACTCTTCGTAATCACATATCTTGGTCATTGATCTTCTTCTTCACTTTCACTATAAACAACAGAATCAATAAGACGCTAAATATCATCCTTTCGTTTTTCAAGATCTGTCTCTTGAAAATGAATAGAGTGTCTAGGATAAACATTAATAGGGCACTTTCCTTTCTTTGATGCTTGATTTGAGGTTGACATGCTGTCAACAATACCAAAACAAAAACAAAAGCCAAATATAAAATCAATCTTACAAAATTATAAAAGCCCAAACATATACTTAATCATTACTCTCATTATCCGTTGTATATCAAACACAGCTTTACAATATAATATGAACAGCAATACAATAACTCAAACAATAAAAAAAACCAAATAAAGCTTCACCTTCTTCAACTCTTTATTTCAGATCTCCATGCGACAATCAAATTTCAAAAAACAATCTTGCAAAACTATAAAAGCCCAAACAAATAATTAATCCTCATTGTCATTATCCAATGTATATCAGACAAAACTACACAATATAATATAAACCACAGATAAACAAATCAAAAAACAAAAAAAGAACGAAAACAAAGAGTTACAAACAAAAAAAGAAAAAGGGACGAAATAAATATTACTTACGTTCTTACAAAATATTGTTTAGATGCTGCCGAAACTTTAAACAAATAAAAAACAGTAGTGGAAGAAACCAGAAAAAAAAAAACAAAAACAGATATGAGACGGCAAGGTGAACAATACCCTAAGTAAATAGTAAACAAATTTAAAATAAAACCCGGTCAAACAATTCATACAACAATAAAAAGGTTGAAATAAAACTCGGTCCAACAATTGAAAGAGCATTAACTATCCGATCCAAAAAAATAACAAGTTAAAGTTAATCCAAAAATGTCCAATTAAAAAAAAGACTATAATTAATAATAACATTTTGAATTAAATATATTTGACAATATATATCCACTATAATTAATTTTAGCAAATTGGATTAAATAATAAATATATATAAATGTGTAATAATGAAAAAAATTACTATTGTTAATTCTATTGTCCAATATACCATAAAATAAATACAATAAAATATTGTTTTTTCACAAAAAGTAATATGTAATTAAAATAAAATATTATTCATTAATACAATATAAAAATCTTTTATCTAGTGTATAAAAAAATAAAATATTATTTTTTCACATAAAATTTATAAATAAATAAATAATCCAAAAGATAAATAATATGTCCAAAAAAATTTATCAAAAACAGCCCACACAACGCCCAAGGCTTAAACTAGTTGAATAAGTATACTCGCAAAACGCTCGGCCCATGTCTAGTATTTATTAATTTCTAAATTGAAAATCAGTGAAATTTTAAGGAATGCTACTGCTAATCCAATTTTATATTTGTTTATTTATTTTAATAAACTTTTGACATACGATTGCGTACAAGTTACGGCATTAATTATTTATAAGTTCACAAGAAAAATAGCCGTTTGAGTTGGTAGGACAACTAGGTATTAAAAAATTAGTTGTATTATTGGTGGATAATAATGTGGCGGTGGTGGAGACTCTGGAGAGGAGCGCGTGGGCCCTTCTTCTGTCTTTTGTAACCTAATTTTAGCGTAAGGGTCAGGTAAATGAACGGTGATCCTTCTCTTACGTATACCATTTGCATTATCTTCTTGGGTTAGGTGACGATATTTCGCCGCCTCATTCGCCATTTTCTCCTATATATATCGTCTCCCTCTTCTTTGTTTCTTCGTTCATTCTTCTTCATCCCCCTTTCTCGTTTTTCAAAAGCTAGCTCCAAATCCTCTCAACGTAATTTATCTTTATTTTCTTTTAAATTTATCTTTTTATTTTATTTTCTGTCTTTGTTTCTGATTTGTTTGCTTGTGCTATTTTTTATGGTTTCAGATGCAGATCTTTGTGAAAACTTTGACCGGCAAGACCATTACTCTCGAGGTCGAGAGTTCCGACACCATCGACAACGTCAAGGCAAAGATTCAGGATAAGGAAGGGATCCCACCGGACCAGCAACGTCTGATCTTCGCCGGAAAGCAACTCGAGGACGGCCGTACCTTGGCCGATTACAACATACAGAAGGAGTCAACCCTCCATCTTGTCCTCCGTCTTCGTGGAGGGATGCAAATCTTCGTCAAAACACTCACCGGAAAGACCATCACTCTTGAGGTCGAGAGCTCTGACACCATCGACAACGTCAAGGCCAAGATCCAGGACAAGGAGGGGATACCACCAGACCAGCAGCGTCTGATCTTTGCCGGCAAGCAACTCGAAGACGGCCGAACTTTGGCCGACTACAACATCCAGAAGGAGTCCACGCTCCATCTTGTCCTCCGTCTCCGTGGAGGCATGCAAATCTTTGTCAAAACACTCACCGGAAAGACAATCACTCTCGAGGTTGAGAGTTCCGACACCATCGACAACGTCAAGGCCAAGATACAAGACAAGGAAGGAATCCCACCGGACCAGCAGCGACTGATCTTCGCCGGCAAGCAGCTTGAAGACGGCCGTACTTTGGCCGATTACAACATCCAGAAGGAGTCAACTCTACACCTCGTCCTCCGTCTCCGTGGAGGAATGCAGATTTTCGTCAAAACCCTCACCGGAAAGACCATTACTCTTGAGGTAGAGAGCTCCGACACCATCGACAACGTTAAGGCAAAGATCCAGGACAAGGAGGGTATCCCACCAGACCAGCAGCGTCTGATTTTTGCAGGAAAGCAACTGGAGGATGGGAGGACCCTGGCGGATTACAACATCCAAAAGGAGTCAACACTTCATTTGGTGCTGCGTTTGAGGGGAGGTATGCAGATATTTGTGAAGACGTTGACCGGAAAGACTATTACGTTGGAGGTGGAGAGCTCCGATACGATTGATAATGTGAAGGCAAAGATTCAGGACAAGGAGGGGATTCCACCGGATCAGCAGAGGCTTATCTTCGCTGGAAAGCAGCTGGAGGATGGCCGTACTCTGGCTGATTACAACATTCAGAAGGAGTCAACCCTTCACCTGGTGCTCCGTCTCCGCGGTGGTGATTTCTAAGGCCGTTGTCTAGCATGGTGGATTGGTTGGGTCGTTTGTGTCTTGTGTGTGGTCTGTCAAGTGCGTCGTTGTTGTGATTGAATTGCTGATATGATTGTAGTATGCCTAATATGGCAATTAGAACTTTACATTTAAGTTAATCTATCAATAAATTTCTCTGGTTTTTAATATATTCTGGGTTTCAATGTGTTATATATCAGTGACTTGAATTATCAAGCTTCCTTATCTCTGCATAATTATGAGATTTTAGTATCAATATTCATGGTGTTTACTTAGTAAATGGGAAATGGATTGGGAATGGAAGGGAAAGGATCGGGGTTTACACATTGTTTGTGCAACTCATGGTTTGGTTTTACAGCATTTTAATGGTTTTCTCATCACATTGGGTTATGCTCAACTGAAGACATGTTTGGCCAAGAAATGAGTTTGCGTTGGAATTCACTATTTTTTTAACAGATTCAAATCAATACATATCTGTACATTTAATAGCGCAACTCATCGGATTAGAATGAAGTCTTTCATTTAAATAAATAGAATACATAGAATCCGTATATAATATAAGAGAGAGGATGAATATGGAAAATTTTGATAAAGAATAATTTTTTTTTTTCAAGAGATGCTATTGAAACCCACCTATTATGTAATTACAATTTTATCGTAAATGAAATTACAAGAAAGAAAAATAAAAATCTACTTCATATTAAACTCTATTTTCGTTTATAAATTTCAATCCCTTTATCTTAGATTAAAAAAAAAAAAAAATCATTTAAAATCAATCTGAATTGATGTGAAAGAGATTATTCCAAGGAGCAGGGCAAAATATGAAAAAAAGAAAACAAGTCAATTTTAATTTTATTAAAAAAATCGTTTTGGTAGGTGGAATTACGTGCATTTAGTTGAAAAGCACCAAATTTGTATTTAACATAATCAGAGGGAATCCAATATTTTGCAACAATTCCAGCAACACTTATTATACAAATATTATAATGCATAATTTAGAGTACATATATCTCATGTCTTGGGCATTTTTTTTATTTGAGTATCCATTGGTTTTGAGAAGTGTATTTGTTTTTTTCTATAGTGAGTACACCCTTTAGTTTAAAAAATGTGACCATAACCTCTAATATTCACGTAACGTTCAGTTATTTTGTTTAAGTTTAAAGAAAAATGATATTCTTATTATTAATTCAAATTCAATCAGTATAACATTCAAAAGCTACCAATAATATTGAGAAATTAATATATATATTTTAGAGATTGAATTGATAAAATTGATGATAAATTTGAAAATTGAATTGATAATGTTACAAAAATCAACCGATACTCACTATAAAAAAGGTGGTTAGAAACTTATAGTTACACTTACTAAACTAGTAGATAATATAAAAGAAAACCATCAAACCAAACACGCGAGAGTTGGGATAATTTTTCTAAAGCTAGATGCTCCACAAAAAAGGTGTACTCCAAAAGGCAAAAAGGTTAAACCCACTATTACTAAATAAAAAAAAACCGTATTATAATTTCGTTTCGTGTGTAGTAATCTAAAATTAGGAAATTAAATATAAAATGAGAAACTAAGAGCTATATATATAAATCCTTGCTGACTTTGACTCGAATGACTTCACGTTTTGAAGTGGTGGTTTAACAAAATAATTACTATAGCAGCGTCGTTTATTGTCCTAGAAGCTAATACAAACACTCCAATCTTTCACTCAATTTACCATAAAACCTTATCAGACCTAAGCCAGCTGCATTCCCAACTTTTTACAATGAAAAGTAAAAAGAACCAATGGCAATCATAACCATTAATACAAACCGTCCATTCTATGGAACCCACCGAGCACTTCACTCCTTTTCTTGTATCAACGGTTCAAATTTAACGGAGCTGAATGAATCATATGCTGTAGCCCAGTGAGGCAACTTTCAGTACGGCATAATATTAGCAAATGTACACAACTTTCCTCTTTCACTTGATTCCCCTCAACCATTTCAAAATTTGCTGTTGGGTTTGATGATTGGTTGATTGACTAATCGGGGCTTAATCGAAAGCTATGAACTTGAGCCGGCCGGCGGTGCACCCAGTGGAGGCCCCCCCTTTGACGGAGGCGGCTATCCAGAATGGTCCCAGACTCAGAATGAAGGACGTCCAAGGCATGCCTGGGACACGTGGCGGCTTGATTCTTCGTCTCTGTCAGTTTGTTTTTTCATTCATCTCTCTGTGTGTCATGGCCTCCACCAGTGACTTTCATGAAGCTACCGCGTTTTGGTAATTATTTGTTCCTTTAGATTTCAGGGTTCTGTTTTGTTTTAGAGATGCTTATTATAAGGTTTTCTTTGATTTTAGACAGTGAAGGCACCATTTTTGTTTGTTTTATGTTAGATTCATTTCTGAAATGAGCCCCAAGTTGTAACTTCAGTAACTGAGCTTAATCAATGTTAATTTTTTTTTCTTTAATAAAATGTTATGATGAAAATCTAAGAAGTTTATAGGAAATTTGATTCCGATTGCTATAGAGGCCAAATGTGGATAAACAGGAGGAATAGGTTAGCATCATGTGTCTTCTTAATGGCCTGCTTTATCATCCTTACCTTGGTGTTGCGAATTTCTTTTATATGTCTCTCCAATCATTGTGTATATATTCTGTGATTGTATGTCTATGGATTAAATCTTGTAGGCTATTTTGTTTTTTGACAAGAATTAATTTGTTTACATTATTCTATTTCAGCATCGGATTAATTCGTAAACTCGGGACGAAATCCATTTTCATTTAAGTTTGTGCTGTCCTGCATGTATGATGCTTGGTTTGTAAATTAGAAGAGATGTTTGTTTATTTTCAATATGAGAAGATGGTTTCTTGCATTTAATTTCCTCTTTTTTTTTTTTTTTTTTTTCCTTTTCAGTTGAAAAGTGTATATATATTGAAACAGGTAACATGAAAATGATTTAAATTTATTATTCATTTTACTGCATCAGCTACTTAGTTCTTGCTGTTGGCTTCCAAAGTTTGTGGAGTCTGTCCCTGGCAGTTCTTGACATATATGCCATCTTGGTGAAACGAAGCTTACGAAGCAACATAATTATGCGTTTATTTACCATTGGTGATGGGGTAAGAAACCTTCTATTATTAACCTAGCAAGTCTCCAGATATGCATTTTATGGAATTGTTGTTGGTTATGTGTCAGGTGGTTGCTAGTTAAAACTCTAGGAATAGCTACCTGTATGTTCAGTATCATTTTATCATTTCGTGAATTAATAATAATGAGCTTTGATATTGATTGATGTCCTGCGGGGGTTATGGTTTTATATACAAGAACTTATTGCCTGGTGTCAGTGTCTGCTGTTTGTGAAGGTTAATCTATCTGCTATAAATTCATATTTTCATTTCTTGCAAATATTTGTATTATGTTTTTGTTATTCAACAATTGGCTTTGACTGAGTTGAGTATGCAAGCATGTGGATTGTTATTATAATCTCAAAGGTTTTATTTCTCGTTGTCTTTAGGATTGAACTAGTTTTATTATGCCTTCTATAATAGTTTTGTAGTTTCTAGCATTTGATGGGTCAAGGGGGCCAATAGAGGGAGTAGTGTGTAATTTCGGTTGGTGGAGATAATATTGAGTTTTAGGTTTAAATCTTTTAAAAAAATGATACTGAAAATAGCATAGATACACATAAACTTGTTGCAATTTCCAGTGACAAAGCATACCCTTTTCTTGACTGACATGACTCTTTAAAGAGAAAATGAAATCTAATATGAAGTTTTCAAGAGAAGGGATTCCAATTAATTCCAATACTTTTTAAGGAAAAAAAAAAAAAAAAAAAGGTGCTTGGTAAAACTAGTTGCTCATATTTTTCCATTTTGAATTTCTAATTTGAACGTGTTTCAGTTCTAATCCATGCTTGAACAGGAATTCCTTCTTTACACCCTATATAAAAGGTATTACCTTGCTCATAGTAGATAATTTAGACATTAATTGGGTAATGTAACCATTTGTATGATACTCATCATTCTTATTTTTTCTTCTTTTCTGATTTAAAAACCTTAGGATGTTTAAAGACTGGGATATCTAACAATTGCCTTCATAACCTGAAATTAGATTTTCTTTCACTTCAAGCTTAAAGAAATGGATGTTTTCTTGATGCAGATCACATCCACTCTTACATTTGCAGCTGCTTGTGCATCGGCAGGCATCACAGTCCTCATCGGCAATGATCTTAATAGATGTGCTGTGAACCACTGCACAAGGTTTGAGACAGCTACAGCAATGGCTTTTATCAGCTGGTTTGCCATATCACCGTCCTTTCTCTTGAACTTCTGGTCATTGGCTTCCCAGTAAATTTGGGTTTATGGAATCTATAATCAGCAAACGAGTCTAACTTTGATGCACAGAGTTTTCCTATGGAACTCCAACAATGGAGGTCAATTAGTTGCTCCTATAGTGTAAATAGATAAAGTTTTGCTAGAGTATTTCATATGCAAGAAACATAGAATCCAGAACAACTTCTTTGAAATGATTTTTTCGCCTTTTCTTCTGGGGTATTGTGGTTTATGGTATGTTCATAGTGAAGATGGCATAATTAATTAATTATCCATTCCACATTATCTTCTGCTGTTATATTATTGGTTGTTCCTGTTATTAGTTGTAGAGATTATACTTTCTTCGCCTTTCAAACCCGGTTGTTGCTTTAGAGGAATGCTACACACGAAATGTTCATATTCATATGCAGTTACGTTGGATATTCACAAGTAAAACTTTTTTACGTTGAAGTGAAATGTTCATTCATATTCTCATTAGTTTCAACGTCATGTCTTTGTTACATTTGTTCCGAAACCGTCGGTCATGACATAACATAATGGTTTTACTTTTACCGTTTTACGTTCACACCTCCAAGCTGCTGCTTTTGTTTCATAAAATTCTTGACCACAGTTCATGATTTACACGTTCTTTGATTTTGTTGTCACATGAATCGTTCTTTCATCTGGGAAGTGTTGAATTGGGGTTTTTATGTGGCGTGTAGTTACTTTATTAATTAATAAAGTGTAAAACTCTTATTATGGAATGTGGTTTATAATCTGTTACTGTCATTGACTGAGTTAGTTGTTTATGGAAGTAGTTAGCAAATATATGTGTGAAAGTTTTGACCAAGTTTTTTATTCACAAGAACTTCGTTTACAATGCGTATAGGAGAAGAGAAGACTAAAATTGGCGGTAATAACTGTCGAGGTCGGTAGTAACGGCCTTTTATCAGATATCTTAAGTAAAAGCAAAGCAACCCCCATTTCATGTTAATAACATGCTCTTAAACAGCTATATATATATTAATCACCATAACTACTACTATAATTATCCGAAACCAAAATCTAACAAAGACTGAATCTCTTCCTTCTTCATTATGTCCACCAATGAACAAGAAGACGAAAGAAGGTTCTATCAATGCGTTAGGAAGTATGCCAAAATGTTAAAGCAGGTATCTCACCAGAATGAAGCTTCTATGTACTTTTAATTATATTTAAGGGTTTGAATTCACCAGGAACTGATTTAAAAATTTTGGGGTGTGAATGGAGTTTCAGTTTGATCAACTGGTTGAGATGATGAATGCCAGAACCAAGCCACAGAAGAGAAGAAGGGTAGCATCTGTAAGTTGCCGAAACCTGCTGTTTTGTGCCTAGTTTTTGAAAACTACAATTTATGCAATACCTTTATTGGTTTTGTAGAGTTCTGTGGGAAGAAGTAATGCAACCACTCCAGTCTCCTCGAGTCAACCTGACAACAATGAGGTATTTGTGCAGACGCTATCAAGGTTTCTCAAGGAACTGAGAACTGACTCAACAACAAATCCTGATTGTTCAACAAGCACCCAAAATCAAGAATAGCTAGCTATCTTTGTGTAAATTAGGAATAATTTCTAGAGATATAATATCTGCCATGCATTTAACTATAATAACTGATTATCCAATATAACAGGTTCTGAATTATGACTTCATGTTCAAAATTTTTAAGCAACTGAGAATTGAGAGGTAGCCTACAAAAAGAGGCCAAAGTGCAACATTTTTACATCCTGCAAACTCATAAAGGTAACAAAAATGTATTTTGATTTCACAGAGATGTGATTTACCGATATTTAAGAGCTAATAAGAAAAAAATTGAAAATCCACTAATAGTTAGTTAGATCTATTAAAACTTGAAGGGAAAATAGGACCTGAAAAATAAACTCTGGCATCCATTCAAGATGAAGAAAACTCATTATAACAATTGCTTAGAGCACAAGACCATATTTTTCTATGAGAAGAAGGGGCCTAAGTTTGCTCTTAATGCACTTTAGTTTTCTTCAGGAGGAAGAAAAAGCATAAAGATAAAAAGGAAAACACAACAAAGCACGATAATATGACACAAACATATAACAAAAAAACTGCCACAGATCCTATAATTTATCATTGTTTCCTTTCCATTCAATCATCTGCATTACCAGACAATAGATAAAAGTTCATTTATATTCTCTTATCTTCATTTGCCTTTAATAATTTCTGTGTTTCAACCCTCAATAATTTGCCAAACAAAGCAGCAGCATATGTTTGTTGTTCCCCCCTCTTTCCTATAAATATACATATATTTCGTTAATGAGCATGTTAGAATTAACAGTGTTGCACCTAGTGATGCAATCGAGCCTTGACAACATGAATTAGCAACAGTACGAATCTCCAGAAAAGACAAGATAATATTACCACTGAAAAACCAGCAAAATTATCTCTTCAACAAATAATAACACTTCAAAACTGTTAAAAAAAATGCATTACAAAAAATAATTATTTCAAATAAAAGAAAAAAATTAAATTATTTGGCATCAAACAACTGCAAAATTGACCAAGCACCCTCTTCTCAGCGTAAACAGTAAACCTCAAGAAAGGAAAACAGATTCTTCTCTTGAAAAGAGCAACGGTTTTGCCACTCCTTGGATGCCCCTTAGCTGAAAAAAATGATAACTAATTGGTCCTGTAAATAGCTGGTAAGGCATGGCATCTTAAAAAAATAGCTTTTTTTCCTGAAGTGGATTGGAAGCTGTAAACTCAGCAAAAATTGTGACCCAATACTTCTCTCCGACAACAGCTAGAAAGCAATGGAAAGATCCACTCAACCCAATGTTAAAGTTTCAGGAATCAATTATCCTATATTTGGCCGCACTTCAACTTCGCAGTCACTAGCTGTTTATTTAAGAGTTCCACCTGTTCAACCAATGCAGTGTTTTCCTAGTACATTGAGAACTTGTCAGAAATCAAATCAAAATAAAACAAAAGATACATTTCTAAGTTTGATTTAATACCCTGGAATTATGTGGTCTTCTTTGATCAATAAAGCAGAAAAAAGATTCAGGGGTCATTATACAAACACATATGCACAATAGATCCTTTCAAATAAGCCCCAAGAACTGCTTCTGATGAAGTTTTTAGGGTTTGATAAGAAAAAGCACGGTTTGGTTCAGTTTCAACAGAAGCAAAGTATATTAGTACAATAATGAAGCTATTCTCAGCAAATATTGAGAAAAGTTACTGATAATTGGTGTTCCATCAAATACTAAAAAGATACATACAGAGAGGTAAAGAAAGGGTAGTCGATGAAAAATGAACCATGATGGATTTGGTATTTAAAAGTCACCTTTTGGAGTGTTGACAGTTTTGCGTTAATGCTAGCAGAATCCTCAATTTGCTTCTCTAAACTATCCTTAACCTGTTAAGGTGACAAGAATTATTCAAGTTAGAAAACACTCATGCTTCACTTCCTAAATATGATAAAAATAACAAATCAAAAGAAAAGAAGCTTCCATAGTTTGACATGCATGTTGTTAAGTAAAACACCACTATAATTTAGTTTGACATATATACTGTTAACTAAAAAACCGCTAAAATTTGTTATAGCAGGAAAAAGGAATAAGACTTCACAATTTCAGTTGCTGAAAACCCACGGATACTGTTAGATCAATATAATGGTTCATACTTCATATTATACATCTACAAAAAGTTCTTCACATATGATTTGAATATTTATGTTTGAAAAATTTTCAGAGTAGCCATTTTGGAGATATCCTTTAGAAAAATTTTAATTGAATTTTACTATTAACCAGGGTGGATCCAAATTTATGAGTCTTGATGATATAAGGAAACCGAATTAATAAAAAGCTACTTAATTAATATCATAAGTTTAATAATTTAACATATATAATTTCTTTTGGAAAAGAAGAGAAATTAAGATAAGAGTACCAACATGATAAATTGAACTTATTTTAATCTTGTTTAGAAGAAAATAAAGTTTCCATTTAATTTGAAAGCGCGGAAACAAGAGAAAAGAGCAAGTATGATGATTTCTAACAATAATGCCTCCATATCTTTCTTTTTTCTCATGACTTTGTTTGAAAATTATTTTTCTTCCACAAAAAAGTGGCTAAGAAGTTGGAGAATTAAAATCATTTAATAGGATTGACAGGTTTATACTGTATATACATGTAGGGTAAGCCTCCCCCTCCCTCCACTCCACCTATGATTATCAATAAAATGTGCTCCAATATATATCACTGCTACTCAAAGTAAGAGATAAATAAGCTGACAAGAACCATCAGTTCAGAAAAATGCATTGTCTATAAGCCTAAATAGATAGATATCAAAACGGTTGCTCTACATCCTACAAGCTAAAGTGTTACACAAAAGATCCAGCTAAAAGAGAGAAGGTAGCTAGATACAGCAAAAAGCAGCCATCAGAAACAATGTTTCAATTTTCCCACAGTGATTTAGTGGCTGAGTTTATCCCGATCCCATAATCTATGCAGTGTTTTAGGTTATTTGTAAGTCTCTAAGCAAGCAAAACCAGACCCGTATCATGAGTTGTAATATGTCACCTTCACAGGAATCTGTTCCACAAATACAAATCAATACCTCTTCCCCTCCCACACCAAAATAAGAAATTGCGCAAATGTGCATGAGTGACTAGTTAAGATGACAATTTTCAAAATACTATAAATGAGCACATCACATGGAATTCGGAAACATAAGCTACCCATTACATGACACCTCATAGATAGCACAATTCACAGAAAAAAATCGAGTAAAATTCAAGGCAAGCAAGAACAATCTGAACTTGAACTTGAATTTCATTTCACAATCGAATAATTACCTTTTCAATAACAACATCGATTATAAAATAACAATTTCACAATTGAAATCATAAAATTCTATCATTGAATGAGCAAATATAATATACCTCGCTAAGTTCCTTCGAACACTTGTTAACCTTATCTACCTCTCTATCATATTTATATCGCCATTCTGCAGATTCATCCATTGCCTCCCTATTCGCAAGATCAAATTGCCTCCTAAAAAATTCCAATCGACGGAAACATCATTTGGCAAATGCTAGACAAAATTTCCCAAAGTAGCAAAATACCCAAATACCAATATCATTTAAAAAAAAAAAAAAAAAAAAACTTAGTTCTGCAAATACGTAATAATCGGAGTAAAAAAAAGCCCTTTACCTGAGCAACTCGTTGTCAGAAGATGAAACAGAGTAATCGATAGTCCAAAGCCTCAAGTAAATGGCAATTCCCATTACCATAACCAAAAACAAACCCAGCAAAATGGGTTTCCTTCCGCCTGCCATTCTGTATTAAGTTTTATTCTTTTTAGAAATTCTGATATCTCTGTATCTGAGATTTTTAGTTTCTATGTGAACAAAGAGATGAAGAGTGGGAGTTTAGCTCAGATGTCTCGCTGAGAGGAAGACA